TACTGTGAATATAATTTGCCTCTACTTATAGCATTTAAGTGTGTATGTGAAAAAAATTAGACTTTTCAAATTGTTGTTTCTCTGTTAAACACAGGAAAATAACTGAACAATCCATAGTCTCATGTGTGTAATGACAGTAACTGCCTGTAAATAACAATAACGAGCAAATACTGCTTCACTGATGTGTGCAACTATTAAAGAAAACATTTTCAATCGTATACACAGTGATTTGACTAAGCTTTTTTTAATATTTCCAACGTTATTTGAGCTAATATTATTTAATATTTTTTCAATATTTGATCTAATACCCTGAAGACGATTTCTGAAGATGAAAATTCATAACTTTTGAAAAAAGGCATATGAGCCCAGATTATGTCTGCACCGACTTCGGTTTTCAGACCGAAAAACCGACACGAAAAAACCCATGTTCTGTTTAGACGGACACCGAAAAAATCTAAAACATTTTTGTGTAAGGTTTTAAAATGATATAAAGAGTGAACACATAATATCTATATTGTCAAAGAAACATCTGATTTGTCACATCTTGCGATTTCTCGAGTTATATATAGCTGCTGTCCAGACACAAAATTGAGACCAGAAAAATCATTCAAGGTAATTCATTCAAATTGTCTTTTAATTCAGTTTTTTGATCTAGGCACGCCGAAAAACTGCTTCATTCGCGTAAAAGATTTTTGTATCAAACTATTGTCTCCGTTAATTCCAAATCTTTAGCTCTTCTAAGGACCGAAAACAATGGAATATTCGAATTTGGCACATTCGATAATCTAGAAAACAGTATTTTTATCGCACAAAACGCATAAGGGCGAAAACGCGTTTTCCTTGGCGTAGTTTTAAGTTTTAGCCTTTCAAAACCCGCTCAAAACCTTTTCTAAAACCTTGAAGAACTGTTTTACGTGAGTTTCGCGATATGCTCATTCATATTCCCGGATCAAAAAATTCTTTTATTGCAAATGGTTTTTCGACCCCAAAAACCCAGTATTTCAAAAAGCGGATCTTTAAACTTTCAAACCAACTTTTCAAACCAATGTAATATTCGGAATCAGGACACTCGATTACCTATTGTCCACTAAGTTTTGGGCCAAAAACTGCTGGACAGTTGGAAGCCTTCCCTCATGAGTTATAGAATTTTTAATAATGTATGTTATGCGCTATATGGGCAAATTAAAAAATGCATAACTTTTGAAAGAAGCAATAAGAACCCAAATCCGTTTAGAGCTTTTACTAGGACACTATATACTATCTATAGGCAAAAGATCATTGAAGTCGGCGTTGGACATCTGGGAGGTACCCTCGTTAGTATTATTGTGAAATTTTGTGTCTGGACAGCAGCTATATGTAACTCGAGAAATTGCAGGATGTGACACAGATGATCAGAAGAAGAAACATATGGCATACTGCATCCACTAAGGGGCAAATACCAGATGTTAAGTTAGTTCGTTAAGTCGAGATGTAGATTGTATCTGTACCGATTTCGGTACGGATAAAATCAGATGTTTCTTAGACAATAGCAGATAGATGTTATATGTTTACTCCTTATATCATTTTAAAACCTTAAACAAAATGTTTTAGATCTTTTCGGTGTCGATTTAAACCGAACATCGGTTTTCTTCTAACAGACACCGGTGTGTACCTAGCCTAGATTCTTTTAGGAGAGTATTACGTCGGAGAGTATTTATCTGTCATCAGAAAAACTTACTGTGTTCCTTGTCCGAAATACTGAACTATTTGTTGATAGCTCAACAACATGTATCGGTTTAGTAGGTAATTTTGATAGGACATTGCAAACGAAGGACGGATGATCTTTAATTGAATGGGCTAATAGATCAACTTTCATTAATCTGAGCACCAGATCGTTAATGTCATACTGAGACAGATCGCTAATGTCATACTGATATTGAAATGCAGTTTCTAATCCTCTTAATAATCTCTGTACTTTTTTGTCTACTAGTTCTTCATCTTTAATGATCATTTTCATATTTTCAATATATTCAAAGCATCTTACAATCATCTGATCAACTATAACAGATTTTTCGCTTGCTGTCTCTAGAATTAAATAGCATAGATTAATTTTTGTTATTTCATGAATTTTTTTGTCAAATAGACAAGTAGATTGTTGTGAAACTGTGCGAAGTATGGACCTAGAATTTTCATACTGCCACATCTTCAGATTAGCGGCAAAATATCTGATAATTTCATCAATTAAAATTGTTTCATCATTTTTTCTTGTCAAACGTAATTGTTGTTGAAATTTTTCATAGTTCATGATTTTTAATAGTGACAAATAAAATTCTTCATCATACTCGTGTATGATACTGGTCGTTATTATGCACACAGTTCCCGTAATAGAATGTAACATGTCTGATGATGATGACCATTTGTCAATGTCTTTTGTGTGAGTGGAGATGAATCGACGACATAGACATAAGTGTTTTCTGTTACGGAAGCGTCCAATAGCTGCCAAATTGAACAGAAACGATCCACGATAGTACGTAGAATCATTATTAAAAAGCAGATAATCGATTTGTGTAATAATATAATTATAAATATCTTTCATCAATTTCTTTTCTTCTGATCGATCATGCAGCAGTTGAATATGCTGGGTGCTCATAACGTCACTGGTTTCAAGTTCATAATGACTGAATGTATCCAGCCATAAACAAATAATTTTTACAAAGAACGGATTTTTAAGTTTTCTAATATTTTGAATATGACGTAGAAGCCATTCCAACACACGTTCTTTTGATGATTTGTACTTCACTGTAAAAAACATTTTATAGAATAAATTTCTGTTAATAATATATTTATTATGAATAATTTTAATATTTAAATTTGCAAGATTAACTAAATAATCATATTCAATGGCAACAGAATCAAAATAATCTGATTCTTCTAATTTGCACAATAATTGACAAGCTAATTCTTGTATAATAAGAAATGCTCGTCTATACTTATAATGACAAAATATTTCACTTAAATATCGATCATCACTATCATCATCAACTAAATGTTGTGAACATGTATTAACAAGTTGAAAACAAATATTTTTATATGATTTTTCTGCTAATATTTCATCAGCATCGTAGTGATACGTAGCTGACGAAATATTCTCAAGATATTTTGTAAAATCATGTTCATATTAATAGAGAGCTGTTGTGTCTTTCTTTTGTTGAGCTTTGTGGAAATACACTGCAACTATTTCCGCTTAAATTTTATGATCTCATCGTTTATTTTTACTTGAACCTTTTTTATTATTATATTAAATCGACAACAGAAAAAGATAAAAGTATCAAAAATTTTCAGATTCTGAATAGTCAAATTTTGATTGATTTATTTCTCATAAAAACACATGTAAATACGTGAGTAATCAAAATAATTTTACACAGTTTGTGTTACGTGCATCTTTACTCGGAAACACAGTATCATCAAGCTGCGGATGCGGGTGTAGTATTTTAGAAACAATAGTGGACAATATTCCAGCCTATTTTTTACTTGACTACTTCCATGATTTTTGTTTTGTATTCTAAACAGATCGGAAGTGGTTTTTTTGTTTATTTCCATAGCATAAAGAAAAACGTTAGTACTGGGTCTTTTTTAGTAATCAAAAAAATGGAATATTTACCCTGGCATATGGTTGATAATATTTCAATGTTTTCAAGAATAATGGTCAAAGGTAAACATACTTAAAAAAATAAAGTTTTGTGATAAAGATTGAATAGAACATAAATAACATGCTGACATACAACTGGCAAAAGAAAATTTTATGTTACAGGTGCGGAACTGAAATCATCATTGCGGGTTTTTTACCACAGAATCTATGTAAATCGAAAAGGTAGCAACTATAGTCTTCACTGCATTTTAAAAAAGTCAAAGAAAAAATGTCAGCTTTGCAAGAAACACTCATAAATAGTTTGCACTCTATTAGAAACGAAAATGAAGAGGAACGACACGAAGATTGTCGCTATTCACCTGGCTCAATTCAAAACTTGATGATCGTGATATGTTCGATGCGTATACAAGACTTCGTGCAGTGGCTCAAAATTCTCATTTAGAAAATGAGCTGGATGTCACAAAAATCGTTTTTGTTGGTGAAACTTCAACGGGTAAATCAACGCTGAATCAATATTTTTTACGATTTACATGCTCATTTTCACAAGCTGATGCAGCAGCATGTTGTCCAGTTATACATCGTTTGTGCTATAGTCCAAATTTAGCTGATGATGAGATCCGGTTTATACAACCAGTCGGACTGAAACCAGCTGATTTAGCAAACATTTAAAAATGAAAATGGACGAATTCAGAGAAATGGACGGTCAACCATGTGCTTTGATCAGCTAAAGAAAATAACTTACCAGCTTAACTACTAGCTCTGTGGTGCAGATAATACTTCAAAGTGCCCAAAACGAGCTACTTTGCTGTATCAAGAAATGGAAAGGACACGATCTATGCATACATTTTCTTTCTGTTTTCCTTATTCCTCAGTTCTTCATGCTGTAAAAAAAAGTAAACTACTAACACGTACAAAAAGAAGTAGACAGTGGGAAAAACGCTAACTAAGAAACACATCAGAATAAATGTGTCTAACATTTGCTTACTCCATTCAACCTTATTTGAAACTACTGTATCAGCACACTTTCTAGTTTCTCCGAATCAAATTTTTGAGACTATATATGTGGTAATTTCCATTCCATATGATTGAAATGAGCTGATATCACGCTCGATATTATTAAAATTGAATTACTCTATAATGATGGTTACGAAAACGCGATCTATAATGACTTCTCTCATAAATCTCAGGAGGAGCTAACCAAGGCTTCGTGAGCACCATTTTTTGACAAGGACAATCAAATTTTAATACCTTCAAGACTTAATACGATCCTTCTCAACCACTCACTCGGACTAGTTATTTTGGAACAGAACTGACAGCTCTTGGACAGATATATGATCAATCACATTATTCACATGAGATTCACATATAGTGGCGGCCAAAATTATTTGTACGATCAGTATTTGTTCATAATTCTGTGACTTAGGTGCTTTTTCAAA